GCATTGTACGCAGATGAGTCCTCGAAAGACTCATATGGCTGCTCAACAGGCCCGCAATCCCACTGCTGCTCGTAAGGATTTGATAAGGTCTGGCTGAAGTCCCAAGAATCATGGTAAGGAGTTGGTTGGGCACACTGGGCTGCGGTTTCTTCTTCCTGAGCTAACCGGGATGTTGCAAATTCATAAATAAGGTCGAGCTTCTCGTTGAACTCGTGGGACTCATAATATTGCTCGACCAGGGAAGGGTCCCAGTACTGCTCGGAAGAGTAGGAATATGGCTGGTAGTGATGCCTGGTGGAATAGCTCGGCTCTATAACCCAAGATTGGGTGTGCGAATAGGGGAACCCACTATTATAGCTCATGATACCTGCACAACAAAGCAGAACAAACCACACGTAGTCACGAAAAAGAAAGAAAAAGAATAGATAAAAACAAAAACAAAGAAGCAAACAAAGAGACACAAAAGAAAGAACGAAAACACGAAAAATACAAAATAAAGAGAAACACGGAAAATAAAATCAATATCAAGACCAAATATCCTACTTGCTTTCCCCGGCAACGGCGCCAAATTTGTTGTAGCACAAATTATTCTTTTTACCGAGTATCGAATCAAAAGATTCGTTCCCCGAGTCGATCTCACGAGGAAGGCGGTTCGGAATTCAGCTTTGGTATTGACAACACATAAAAACAAAATAAATCCTAAACATTCTAATCAAATAGGGGATGAATGAATAATTATCAACTAAGAAATAAATAACAATGCAAGAATGTAAATCTACCTAAGAATATGAATGGAACGAAGATGGAGAAGCTAGGGAATCGAGGATAATTAATTCAAGTTCTAGCAAAGCCGGGATATCAATTGTTCGGTTCGAGATTGACACTCTCGCTTAAACATCTAGAAGTTCGCTCCCAATAACTCTTCGTAACAAGGGATTGAACATAGACGAACAAGTTGAAGCATACAAAACAGGCCAATGATCCCAGTCCCAATAACTATTCGTAACAAGGGACGAGTCATCGACAAGCTCGTATTTCAATCTAAAACACATAGATTATCCAGTTACGACATTATCTACCTCATGCGAGCCTAGTTCTACGACTTCTCCCATTTCGGTTCTGAAAGCCGCTAATTCAATTAGAAGGGAATTAATCAACTAATCATATCGAATCAACAAAACCCTAACTCAACTAATCAATATTCAATTATTTCTAATCGCAAGATCGAAGTGTCACTCTTCGATTATATCAATCAATCAAACAAGATTCTATCAATTCGAATAAATTTAACTCG